CGTCTCCGTTTAGCATTTTTTGCTCTTATATCCAAACTACATTTCTGCAAAGTTTCATAAAAATCGGTGACCCCCAGGGTGTAGGCACCCCTTGTTAGTCCGAGTTGCGCATCATCCTCTCGCCTTAGATGAGATAACCGATCTCTTCTCGCCACTCTGCTCTCTAGTCGTACGCTCCTGCGTAACTGTCTTCTCTTCATCAGGATCACTTCTTCTGCTATTATTAACGCCGACGCACAATGAGCCTTGCTCTAATTGCTAAAAACAAAATCGGCACAAATACACAAAACGACTCGCCACCCTGCGGTACACGCAACGCAATTTACGGTAAAATAAAATAGCCAAGACAATACAACGCGTGCTGAATATTCGCTTGCGCCTGTCGGCGCATGGTACTCTAAGTTGGCGCAGAACGCACCAACCACGCAAAATCGGCGCATTTTGATACGCCACGCAACAAAGATAGATCGCTCTCTCCAAATCGTGAGAGACGCGAGTCTACTTTTTGGCTGTGCTAATTACACTGTGACGGACGCCGAAAAGGTGTCACGTTACAATATATAGGCATATTTTCCACACAACATCCCGCAAACAGCTCTTTACGATCATATATACATTCATTTATTAGTTTAAATAAATAAATATCTAAAATAAATAGATATACTCAGAATTCAGTTTAATCAAAAGGGCTCCTCGCGGTATCAAGCCGTCTCGGGTAGCGTCCGAATTCTTCCCCCTTTCGGATCTTTTCTAATCATGGAAACAAATAAAGCTCAACATTTCCGAAAAATGGTCGCAAAACTAAGAGAATATACAAGCATAATTGCACAAAATCATTTAAGTGGAACCCCGAAGAACACCTCCGCGAATAGAGAAAAAGGCCCAGCACCGCCGACGCAACCAGAGATTGCGATGAGCGGCTACCCTCGTTTTAAACGAGCCGAAGCTAAGCAGGCCTATTGTTGCCATCCCTCTTCCGACGATAGGAAACGATTACAATAAAGACAAGAAAACCAGCCACAATAACGCTAACAGTAATAATGCTACACAACATGCACAGCGAACTCAGTCGCCTCCTCTTCTTCGCTCCCTCTCTCCAACATACTCTGAACCTTCCTACTCCCCCATAAGTCCTGATCCTCCCGCGGACTCTCAATCCGCACCCGATCCTCCCGCAAACAATCTATCGTCCTCACCTCCTTACTCCCCCTCTCTAACACACCCTGAGCCCTTCTGTTTACCTAAGAATCCCGCGAATGCGCAATCTGCGCCAACTCCTCCTCTTCCCTCTTGCTCTCCTTCCCCTTTGCTTTCCACATTCGCGCAATCTTTCCAGATCCCGCAGACGAATCCCCAATTCCTATTGACCGATCCTTCTACCGGACAACCCCTCGTTACAATATTGTCTCAAGCTTGCTTCTACCTACCGAATCGCAGATCCGAATAAACGACATTATGTCATTAACCCCCTCAAGATAAGTCTTACCGAACTTTTCCACATCGTCACTTCCTACGTATAATCCCGTAACTCCAAAACGCAAATTTTAGAGGAGAGCAGTTTAAAAGTTTGAAGCTTCATATAGTTTCCCTAGTTAAGGGATCTTTCGGTTTTAAATTTTTACCATAC